GTGGTTTCCTCACCCCTCGTCCCTTGGAGAACAGGGAGCGGGGGACACGCTTTCCTGTCCCTGGTCTCCCTCAGTCTCCATCGCTCCCGGTGCTGCGCGCCCTCCCGCCTCCGCCCAAAATGGCGCTGCCCCGCGAAAGGGCCGCGGCCGCCGCCTCCGTCCCTGCTCCCTCCGGGAGCTGAAGTCATTTCTCGGGCCAGGCGCGTCCCCGAGGGGCCGTGCTGTGTTCTCCTGCTCGTCCTGTCTCTTTTTCCACAAGAAGGTTGTGAGCGGTACCGCGCGGAAGGCGCGGGCCTGGCCCGGGACAATTCCCACGAGCAGAGCAAAGCGCAGCGAGCGCACGGAGCAAGTGCCTCTCGCGTCTGTGCCAGGAGTTGGGAACCACTGGCATGGGAAGTTGGCTGCGGTGTGCTCTACGTTACTCCCTCTGGCTTTCTCATTAAGCCGGTTCAGGAGGCTTGGGTGCAGAACAGATCTTGTATGAAACGCAGGCAGTGGAAACCCTAAAGGTTATTCTCAGCTGTAGGAGTGACACCTAAGCCAAGAAACCGCTTCCCCCGTTGCCTTGATGCTCCCAAGGCTTGGGCATCCTCCGGATTCTGCAGCAGCTGCCGGTTTTCTTCACTGCTCATAATCTCAAAACTTGAGAGTTACCCTCTCCGTGTGTCCTCACGGCAGCTAACATCCTCCTCCATCTCACAGTTACCTGTTCAGAAGCATCTTTTCTTCTGGAACTTGATCGTTTCACTCTACGGAGTTGATGTCATGTTTGAAGCAAATTATTTTTCTCAAGAAAATGCCTTAAAATTAAGGGAGGGTAAGAAAATATTTGCTAGCGTGGTATAGGGAGGACATTACTTCTAACGTGAATGGATAGTTTATCCATAGCGGCAGAAAATCCTAACACACCCCGCAGGGAAGGTGTGGGCGCTCTTGTCTGCGCTGTGATCCTACTAGTATTGCCATTTCCTGTTGCTGGATTATGTTGGTCTTAGCCCTGAGTAGTGCCCAGCCTCACCTGCCTGCTCTGTCAGTCGGCAATGCTTTTCAGACACCAGTGAATCCTGTGGCAACTTCATCTGATGACTTTTATGGAGGTGTCTGTCGAGAGGTACAGCCAGCCCTGGTCTGAAGGGTTGTGCTCCCTCCTGCTGGATTTGCCGTGGATGAATATTAATCAGATGGTTAATTTTTCACAATAAAAATGCCCTAGATTTTAAGTTTAGACCAGCTTACTTCAGC